ATACATGTTTACTCTTTTCATTTGCTTTATGGTAACTAGACACTATTCTGCTGTACTGCGATAACAAAGAATGAAGCTTTCTTAAAGTGTACTTGAGAGAACAGATGCATGGGAGCTGCCATTGTTGACTTGTTCAAAAAAGGTGATGGTTCCAGGGCTGTTGGACTAATCATTTATTCGAGACCCGGGATAAGCATGGGGGTCAGGAAAGTCAAAGTAAGTCAGTTCTGATCTGGCTTCAGGTCAAAACGCAAAGTACTGCAGCCAAAGGGTAAGCAAGACAACTAAGCAACTAGCATTTCAGAAGTAGAGGTCATCAGCAGCAGGCACCATTTCTATCATGACCATTTTTCTTTAAGATAATTGACTGCCAGTGTTGGAATGGGACTAAAACAGCCCTAGTATATATAGTATATAAAGCATGCCTGCCCACATTTATGTGCAGTAATGCACATATTTATATTTTAATGTAATATATATATATAAATAAAATATAAATATTTTTTATATTTATATTATATATGGTCTAGAGCAGCTACGTTTTGAGTGTAGTAGACCAAACATTATTATATGTAACATCATTCATCTTCTTGTATGTATACCCTCATAAAAAAGCAGAAATAACCTTTCAAATTGTGGACTACACACTTATTATTACACTAGTTTCAGCTGCAAAAAAATTTGTGGACACGAAAAGACACCATTACAATAGCCTAGTGACAGTATAATTGAAATCTGGCTCTGCATATGGCCAAGGATTTTAAATGCTTAACAGGTCAATGAGCTTTAAATCCGATCTTGTATTATGATCTCAAGTTTGTGATCAAAATCTGTAAATAATATCCTTTTTAAACCTAGAGTAGTTAGTGCCAGTTCATGACTGTATAAAAAAATGCCATATTACCTATGATTAGAACATTGAGGACTTGCCATTTCTTAGTGGCCTCTGACCTCAGCCACAGCTTACAACTGTTCCTTATTTAGAGGGGCTGTCCCTTTTTTTGGAACTAAAATCCAATTTTTGCTGCCAGTGTTGTTTATATTGCACTACATATTTTTAAATGTTTTTTTCTGATTATTGCATTAATTATTTTGAATTGCTAATATTTAAAGTAGCAGTAAAAAGTGATTATTCGTGCACCAGATTTCCACATGGTCCTCGTGGTCAGGAGGTTGTTCTGTGCTAAAAGGTGCCACTCTTTCCATCTTAGAAAGTTGGGAGGTATGTGTAACGGCCGCCGCCGTCACCTGCGAGCAGGGGTGGAGGAAGCGGCAGCCAGCCGCTCCTTCGCTGGGCCGATTGCGTTCCACGGTGGAGCGCATACCCCTCACTTCCGGGTTTCGGGACTGCGTGCGTTCCACCGTGGAACGCGGAAGTGCGCCGAGAGCGTGCTCGGCTCCTCCTAGTTACGGAGGCCTATTTAAACGGCCAGCTGAGACAGCATGGCGTTCCTGAATTGAGCAGAAACGCCTGCTGTCTCCTGGGACCCTCCACTTGCCTCTTAGCAGTGCCTCCATCGTTGACTGGATCCGGACCCCTCCGAGGAACCCCTGCTTCTCCAATTGAGCCTGTTTTTCAAACAAACCGCAAGTACCGAGTGCTGTTGCACCCTCTTGTCATTTGGGACTATTTAAGTAACGCCTGTATAGGCTTAAACTGCTAAGGGGGATTTACTCTTGCTTTAGATACATTTATTTGTGGAATCCTGCGGTCATACAGCCTGATTATCAATTACCACATCTCCTCAAACCTAGTTTACGTAGTAGAACCTTTTCTGTTGCCTTATTATTTATCCTGAGGCTGTGATGCGAGGAACCCTAACTCTCTGTTAAAACTGAGAGAGTGAAACCAGGGTTCCATACCTGAGAAGCCTCCGCAGCTGCGATCCCCACTACTACAGTCCATTCAGGCGTTACAGTATGCCTCAGCCCCTGAAGTGTAGAGAATCAGACACACAAGAATTAGAATGCAGCCATGATTGAAGAAAGGGGGAATTGCTGACATTACGTATCACATGACCATCATACCAAAAACATTGTAAGATTATTTTCTCAACAATGACAATTGTAATCTCAAAATAAAGTGGGTGGGGCTTGGATTACTACACTAGAATCATAACGCAGGTAATGTTTCTATACATTTTACTTACTGTGAACACCTACATGCACAAAGTAGATTTTGCTGTCAGAATTTTATTTTTATTGCATGGTCTGCTTTAATGCTATGACACTGTCTCTGGTCTAAAATTAGGCTTAGCTGCAGTATAACTTTCCATTTTATTAGAACAGGGCAGATGGGCAGATCACACCAACATATGAATAATAAGAGATATGCCAGTCCTTCTGGTAAATGTCTGATTTGTCAAATTACCAACAAAAACAGTATTTGGGGAATAAAATAAGAAAGTACTAATGATAAAAATTGTAGCACTGTTTGCAGACATCTTCAAAGACAGGTTACGACTGTAACTGTAACTGAATGTATTGTGCTATAGGTGAATTAAGAAACATTTACGTGAGTTCATATAACTGCTTGGTGACAGAATAAAGAATGGACAGGTACTGAAGTTATAGTTATCATTTGTATTTATGAAACACCTAATGCAACACTCTGACAGGTCAGTATTAGTAAAAGTTTTGTATGACCATTATACGTTACTGCTGGTCAGCAGAGCGACATAATCAGCAGACTTAGGAGCTGTAATGAGCCCCTTAATAAATAATAATTTAGGGTTCTAGAAGCAGAAATAATTGGTAAGGGTTTTTATGCTGTAGATTACCCATGTGGACTGGCACTGGATATGCATGTACTAGAGGGAACCAGGAATAGATTGGGATTTTACCAACCCACTATTAACCATGTGTGTATGGCATATAAGAACAATCCCATTGACATGAAAGACCCCACCAAAGAAAGTTTGCACAACTCTTCACACTTACCATTTAAACCAAACGTTAAACATTTAGGGCTGTAACTATGTGTGATGGGGTCCCATAGCAAAACATGTAAGCCCCTTAGGTTAAGGCTGCCAACCCCTGTCAAAATCATTATAGTACCTCTATACCTCAAGGGCAGTTCATCTATGGTTGCAGATTACTTATTGCTTTCACAGCAGTATATATTACCAAATGATTTAAATTTAATTCTATACAAGCTTATTTGCTATTGGTACAATCATCATTTACTGAGAAGTCGGACAGTTTTGGGCCCTCTGTTTTCCTGAGTCCCATTGTTGTTGCAGTATTTGCTATGGCTATAGTGAAACCCCTACACACATTGCACCTGAATCATGTCATGTGACTATTGATGAGCCCATATTCTAAGACAGGGATAGGCAAGCTCCGACCCTCCAGCTGTGGTGAAACTACAAATTCCATCATGCATCTGCCTCTGGGAGTCATGCTTGTGGCTGCCAGAGTATTGCAATGCCTAATGGGATTTGTAGTTGTGCCACAGCTGGAGGACCATAGTTTGTCTACCCCTGTTCTAAGAGAATAGTGTGATCTTGATAGGTGAAGGGAAATGCTTTAATTTTAGTAATACAATACAATACAATGCAAACATAGAATGGCAGAATGGTTTTGTATCCAACAATGTAAATATTGATTCTGAAGGCCTTACATTAAAAAAATGCTTTGTTTGCATATTTTAAAACAACAACAAAACCTAAGTACAATTGCACCAGTGATACAAAGTCAACAAAGACTATGACCAAAGAAACAATTATGTGCTGCAAATCAAGAGCAGCATAATTTAGGAATCTACATCATAATGAAACTAAACTGTTAAAGGGTGTGTGACCAGGTGTACTGTGGGTTTGTGCACATCACTGTTCTATACAATATGTTAATAAATAGGTCTGGCTTGGCCTTGGCTAATTATCAATAACTGCTATACAAACCAGCGAAGCTGCTGACTACCAGCAGGGCTGGACTACATAGCTCAGATTTGCTTCTTTATTCTACACTATTTTATAGATTTCTGCTTGGTGCAACTACTGTATAGCAGACCCATGATCTCACCAGTGATGCAATTATCTCATCATATCACTATATTTTAGTATGTTTGGGCTCAAAATCAGCTATGGACTTTAGCAGCACAAGATTTCAATGCGTTGCATAGCCGACACTGCTTGCAATGCATTTTATGTACAAAAAAAATCTAGAAGCTTTTAAATTTCCAAAGAATATATTCCAGAATATGAATTTTGTATCTGTAAAGTACCATTATCAGCCAGATTGGTATTCTGATATTTCTTGTGCATATTTTTCTTGATACATTTTTTGTTCAAGAATCTAAAGCCAATTTGCATTACACATACATAGTAGCATATTTTAAGCAACATTCATCATATGCACGACAGGTTATGATTTTATGTACAGTCTTAAGATCTCTTTATATTAGTGTGTATCTATCTAAATGATGATGCTTCTCCAAAGACAGAGGCCCTCTGTGAGTTGCTGATTCAGCAGGCGGGTCTGTCTCTGTCTGCACCTCCACTAGTCCTGCAACACACGGATGATGCAGCGAAAAAAATACAGCATACAAAAAAAAAGAAAAGGCGCAAACAATGGTGACGGGGCAATCATCAAAAACAGCCCCCTCCCTACAAATACTATGATTTAACCCAATTATTGCTGGCTACAAAGATAACACAATTTTCCAGAGCAAGGGTTACCCATGCACCCGAAAACTGATATCAGCCATGAATCAGTTAGGAGAATTAAAAAAAATATTTTTTTTTAGCCTCACAATATATCATCCTCTGAAAAAGACTTTCAGGCACAAAGCTACTGAATAAGCTGTCATTCAGTCTTTACAACGCAAAGTGGGCCCTAAGCTGTCGATTGTTTAAAAGCAAATACCTTTTCATTCGTTTAGCTAATACATTTTACAGTAGCACTAATGGATTGACTGAATTTTACGAGGCAGCAGTAGTGATCTGTAAGTCATCGGTGCAGCTACGAAGATAGACAGATTTCAGCACTGGTATAAATACCTCTTTATCCGGATGCTGTAGCAGGAAGGAGAGGCAGGAACAAAAGCAACAATGA